CTGGTGAATGAACAGAGGGGAAAAACAAAGTGCCCAAGGTCCCACTTTATCCTATAACTGCCTGGGTACCCACTTGGCATAAGCTTTCTCCACCAAGGCACACCAGAACTCATTCCTGGAGTTGGAGTGGCAGTAGATGAGCTGATTGTGGAGTGTGGGCAGGCGGTCATCAATCACCACATCCAGCCACTGACCAAAACGCCAGAACTGGAAGTGGAAGATCCCTACATAGCTCTCAGGTTTCTCAGGGTTCCACTCCTGCTCCTTCCAGTCTGGGATGACCTGCAAAAGAAGAGGCACATAAGTTCAAATTAGTTATTTTTTTCCCAGGATTGACTCTCATCCTGGAATTAATGCAGACAATATCAAAGACAAGGAAGACTGTGAGGGGGATGGACTTCCTTACAGTCTGCTGGAGCCAGATTTTGGGCCTGGTTCTGCCAATGCAGACTAGATTAACATGTACTGGAGTACCTTAGACTTCACTGTCCCTTGGAAGGTGGAGTTAAAGACCTTTCTCCTCTTTCTTATAACCCTACCCTGGACATCTGCTGCCATCTACTTCTGTAGACAGGCTATTGGAGCAGATGAGTTCTTTGTCTAACCAGGGATTGTTATTTTTATGACCATGGGTTTGTTTTTTTTTAGTGTCAGTAGGGTACCACTGAAAAAGGGCACCTTCTTTGATTCTCCTACTTGGTTCTGGTGTGCCCTGACTAGCCCAAGAGCAAGTGTGGTATTTCTCTACCTGGTGCCAATGAACAGGCAGCAGATACTCTGCATGAACCTACTAAAAGTGGGAAAAGCAAGGATCCCCATTCCCTCAAGGTCACCATTCTTCCCTGTCAGGAGCTACCACATTCACTCAGGCAAGCACAGGGAGGTGATTAGATGAAAGATGGAAAAGGTCTGAATTGAAAGAAACCATAGCACAGCTGAGAGGCTGCTGAGAAGCCTCTGGGGAGGCACAGGTTTGGTGTCACTGCCAGCAGGACAGGCACAGGCAAAGGGGAACTGCCAAAATGCACAGCCTGTCATGGCTGCAGGCACCACCAGCTCCGCTTTGGATAGAAAATTCACCCAGAGCCAGGACACAGAGGCACACAGCAAGGAACTACCCCAGCACAGTTTAGATTTGTTGAGGCTGGAGGCAATGTGGTTTTACCGCATGGCCAGGGCAGGCTGTGAGGCCACATGTAGTTACTGCAGTTGCTGGCTGACAAGTTCCGACTCACACAGCAGCAGTAATGTGACTGCCTGGCCACACCCCTGCTACTCACTTACCTGCTCCCAAAGGATCATGAGCTCAGTGATAGAAAACCCCCAAGGTGTCCATGCAGGCATGCATTATGTTCCAATACACCAAATAATCACTTTCCTGTGGAAAGCTGAGTGTTTTGGGGTGGGATAGGAGAGGACACAACTACATTGCTTGGAAAGAGCCTCTTCAAGAAGTCACAGGACATGGTGAAACCACCTGTACTATGCTTTGGGCCATTGTCCAGCTGACAGAGCTGGGTTTTGGTTTTGGTTTTTTTTTTGCCTACTGTCACAAAGCAGGAAATGTGCAGAGAGAATTCCCTCTGAAGAACCCCCTGACTCCTTAGCTACCAGCAATGATCCAGCCCAGGGCTCTTATTGCTCGTACACTGAAATATTAATGATGCCATCAGCCCTGCAAGCTCACAGGCACTCTTAGGCACTCTTGAGTCATCTGGATCAATAGAAGCAGAGCAGACAAAGCCATGAAAAAGAGCCACATTTGGAGGGTTTGGTGTTTTATAGAAGTGCTAACAGCTATGTCCCAGAGTCCTCTCTGGAGACTGCCAGGAAAGGTCAGCCAGCCCTCCATCAGTGCCCATTGATTCCCTCCTGACTGGAGCTCATCCTAATGAATTGTCTTAGAGGACCATCCTGATAATCAACTCGCTATTAATGTGGGCTTAGAAATGATCCCAGCATTGATTAGAAGAGGCAGCTCGTCAGCCAGAGCCGGTAGTGACAGCTTCCAGCTGGCTGGGTCTGAGACTTGCTCCTACTGTCACTGGTGGTGAGACACACAGGTCCCCACAATCCTCCTCCAGTTCTTCACCTGGGGACAGCTCTGGGAGCACCCTCCACCACTGAAGGCAGCAAAAATGGTCAGCTTTCATCCAGAGAAGGGTCCAGGAGCAAGGAGTGGTCGTATTTCTACACTGACCCACAAGGAAATGAGAGGAGTCTGATCTCCACAGGTGCTTCCTGCTGGAGAATATTCCATGGACCACCCATCTCAGGATCCAAACAAGTCCTGGACTCGGCTGTGTGACACTGGGGCAGTGGAAACCATGCTCTTCTCGTTCTTCTCCTTCACCCAGATGTGCTGTTTTTTCCTTAGGGACTCAAAAAATCTGGAGCTGCAACACCATTTAGTGTGAAAAATTTACTGTGAAAGGGTTCAGAGACAGGTAAATTTGGAGCACAGAAATGCCAGGTTCACCTCCCTAAACTTATTTAGGGCTTTTTTCAATTTTCTTAAGAGTGGCTAATTAAGAGAAAAGGTATCTGTGGTCCTGGAGAAAACGTCCCTGATAAGAAGGAGAAATTGGTACATGCCAAGTTCTCCAAGCCTTCCGCTGGGAACTTGCCAGTTCAGGATAAGGAGAGAGGCATGCAGCTGTACCAATCTGAACTGTGGTACAAACTGGGATGGAATTCCCCTGGGAGATGGGACAGGGTGGAGTATCTCAAAGTCTTCATGGGATGCTGGAACTGTGTAGGGATAGTTTCAGTGACTGGTAAAAAGAGGTTCATCTTCCCTGCAGCAGAGAGAGATCACACTGGTCCCCTCACCTCCCTCCTAAGTTCTGAAGGAAACAAGGATCCACCTGAGAATCACTTCCCCTTCTATGCCCAGCTTCAAGATGCTCTTGACCACAAAAGACCCACTCAATACTCCATGAAGACTTTTACACCAAGAGAGAATAAATTAAATGTCCATCTTAAATTTTACAGGAAGTTAAAAGGGGCTCAAGAATACCAATATTGAGTTGAAATTTGGAGCTTTACTGCATGCAGGACTAGGGCAGCTTCCAAAGGGAGCATGAAGAAGACACAAACAGCCTCAGTCCTTTAGGGGAACCCATTGTCTAGGCTTTTATTTACTGTGGTACACCAATAGCCAGTGAGATATCTGCAGCAAGAGCTCTACCCTAGCAACATAGCAATGACATATTGTGAGACTTAGCATGCAAAAACCCCTCTGGATGTTGCCAGTGGCTCCTGTTATTTGGTCTAAAGCAGTTTGTACTCAGGAACTCTGCTCTGAGATGTACAAAGAGGGGTCTTCTACAGCGAAGTCTGCTAGGACCCTAGAGGTGTGTTTGGTCAAGCAGGGATGCATGCACTTTTCTCTCTACTCACTGAGTCCAGCACTCCTTGGGATCTAAATAAAGACTTCAAGTTCTCGGGCATGGCTGTAGGATTTGGTGGTTGCTGGGCTTTGGTTTTGGGCAAGTCTCACAGCTCCCACCACCTCTCCAGCCAGTATCTGATCTTCTGCCTTCTTTCTCCTCTCTGCCTGACATAACTTGTGCATATAATTTTATACTCTATTGCTGGGCTGGGGAAGGCATAGGGTCTGCATCTCTGGACGTTTTGGAGAAGAGGTTGAACCCTTTTTGGGTCTGGTCTGCCTAAGTCCACAGGCCCCAGGTACAAAGTCACCTTGCCCTGGCTTTCCCATCACTGCTTTCTCCTTACTCATTCTGGGAAGGTGTCAGGTTGCACCTCAAGGAGTATTCACACAAATTTGAGTGCAATCTGAGCAAAGAACCAACTGTAATAATACTTAGCTCTTTCAAGGGACTTTTCTATCTGTGTGTCTCAAAAAGCTTCAGTGAAGTACTCTCCACTTTTTGGTGGAGGAAGAGAAAACATCCAAACGTAACAGTTTACTTGCAGTCATGGGGCAAACTGGGCACAAAACTCTCTCCTGTTCCAATACTTAGAAATGCACCATTCCCCTCTGCTCCCATGGTCACCCAGACACCCTTCCCTGTGTTTTACAGGGCAGGAGACACTGCTTTTTTTAAGGATAGAAGCAGCAGGGTCCTGCTCTGTGGCTTGCAAAGTGCTCTGCAGCCTCAAGACTCTCTATAGACACTTCAGAGTAAATATTTTCATGTGTGCTTTAAGGACAGAACAAAGCACAACTTAGCTCTGCTGCAGAGGACTCACTGCTGGCCCAGGCTGCTCTGAGCTGCTGGCTCTGCCAAAACACACACACCAGCTCCAACCCATCTTGGACCAACAAATTCCACCCTCCCCTCAGCAAGAAACGGTGGCAGTGGTCAGAAAAGGCTGGCCCAAGCTCCCCATTAGTCCAGTGGGTTTACAGTATCTGCAGGATACAGCAAGTCCAAGTGTTTGTACTTCAGCTTCACGGCAAGGTGGATTCTCCACGGGACTGCTCTTCAGAGACTCCAAGCAGCAGCAGCACAAGTCACCAGAGCCTGCAAGCACTCAGCACCTTGCAAGGAGAGGAACTCCATCACAAACAAGCCCTCCCTTTTTAACGGCTAGGATGGAAACTGGAAAGCAGGGCTCCCTCCAGGGGTCCCTGCTGTTTTCCGGTATGGCAATTACTTATTTTTCCAGTGGGTTTTTGGTGTGCAGTTGCTACAGTGAGAGGACTTAGGGCAGCCTTGTATTTCCAAGCCAGTAAGACCCTGTGTGAATCACTGATGAATTTACAAGCACGCAGTCTTATACTCCGGGCAAATCCAGCGGCAAGTTCATGGTCCCCTTCTCCCCATCATTTAGACAGAGGGCAGCACATCTGGGGAATATTTCAGAGGGCTGAGGGGCTCCAGAAGCACTGAGCTGTTCTCTGCTTTACCACAGTGCTGTCACTCATTAAAAAAAAAAAGCACAAAAAACCAGATGTAAAAATGGAACGAAGAACTGAACTGAAAGAAGCGTAGCTGGAGCTTTGCTCAGAAAAGCTGAGCAAGAGGGGATCAAGCTTTAAAAACAATGGAGCCTTTCAGCTGAGCTGGTTCGAGGCCACCGGTGAAAGTGAGCAGAAAATACATCACCTTGCGGATCTGGGCTAATTCTGCTATCCGCTCCCCAAATTCCTGGGCGTCTGCCTCATTGCACTCCACCTCCTCGGCCCCCAGCCTCTTCCAGAAGATGCCCACCGGCTCCAGCAGCTGCCGGTTCATCAGGTGGGTGAGATCAGGGGTCCAGTGCTGGGAGGTGCCAGTCACCATGACCTTCCCAGGTCTCTCCAGCTGCACATCCCAGCGGAGGAAGCGCAGTTTGTGCTGCTGGATGAAATCCACTCGGTAGATGTGCTCATTGGGACGCAGCAGCTTCTCGCCATCCTGGGGCCTCGCGTTGTTTTGCTGCAGGCTCTGGAACCGCAGCCGCATGCGCTGGGTGAGCTGCTCATCGCAGGTGAAGGGCAGCTCAAGCATCCCTGCCTCAGCTGCCATCACCTTGGCTGCTCCTCTGCTCCGTCCTCAGCAGTGTGTGGCTCTCTAGCAGGACACGCAGGGGGAAAGATCAGACAGGCCCCTGGAGCTGGTGTCCCCTCTCCGCAGTCCGCAGTTCAGCAGTGCTAGGCAACCTGGGCCAGTGACGCAAAACACCTCTGGGGCTTCCCCTGAGTGCCCTCCCGACTCATTTGCAGATTCAGAACTGTTGGTGCTGCTGTGCACGGTACTCTATAGGGAAGGGATGTCTGATGTCAGCCTCCCTGGCAACTTCCCTTGCAACCATGGCTCATTATCCCAAAACAAAGCCAGGGATGCCACCTTGGCAGGGATGAGTGGCAGTGTCTTTCTCTGGGTGTAGGCTCATGGCTAATTCAGGCTGGAATGAGACTCTCTAGGAGTCTGGTCCAACCTACTGCTCAAAGCAGGACTTACTTCAGAGTTAAATCATATTTATCTGGGCTTCATCCAGTCCATCTTTGAGTATCTCCATGGACAGAGGTCCCACAGCCTCTCTGGGCCCTGTTCCAGTGTCTGACTGGGCTCATGCTGAAGATAAGCTGCAGCTTGTGCTGCTGTCCTTTGTCTTCTGTGCATCCCTGCAAGAGCCGGGCTCCATCTTGTCCACACTCCCCTACCCAGGCTGGATGGGGCTCTGAGCAACAAGGTCCAGTGGCAGACGTTTCTGCCCATGGCAGGAGGAATGGAACTAGATGATCTTTAAAGGCTCCTTCCAAGTAAAACCATTCTATGATTCTACGGTTAAGTAGCTGCACACAGCAATGAGCTCCCCTTCTACCTTCTCTCCTCCTGGATGCACAAACCCACTTTCCTCCTGACTATTTTGGTGGCCTTCATCAGGCTGTGCCATCCAGAAAAGGACATGAGGGTCCCAAGGGACAAACTGACTCTAAGTCAAGGAGTAGCAAACTAACATGACCATTGTGCCCTTTTCTGGATGGAACAGCTGGCAGGAGTCAGACTCCACACTGCTCCTGCAGCAGCAAGTCAGCAACAGCATCCTGGCATGGTTTTGCCCTCCATTTTAATGTATTAATTTCTTTTAATAAAAATTAGACATGTCTGAAGGGTCATAGAAAGGGTGTTACAGAGCCAGATCATAAGCAAACACTTACAAGCTTTTAACATTATGCTATTAGCTAGAAAATTTTCAAAAAGGCATTGCAACCAAGAAAATTTGGCTGTTGTTGTCATAGCATGAGCTTTCAACATCTTTTGTGTCTCACCTTGTACCGATAAAGCTAACACTGAATAAAAAGCTCAAGGAGTGCCTACCTGCAGCCCCGTCCCATTATTGATAAATAAAGATCCAACAGGGGCAGGTAAAAGAAAGCCTCTGAGAGTTAAATCAATGGAAAATGAGAAGTCACAAACACCCATAGCCAAATTGCCATGGGAGGAAAAGCAATGCCTGGCAAACTAAAATAATGAAGTGTCCAAAGGGACCCAGCCTCTGTTTGGTTGGCATTTCCCAGGGCAGAGCTGGAAGTGAATGTTGAAGAAGAATGACAACTTGCCCACTCACCCTTGGGGGATGCTGATGGTGAGGAACAAGCTAAACAACCCCATGTCACCCTTGTAATGAGAGCCACAGCAGTCACCACAGCAGCCATGGCAGGAAGCTTTATTGCTTATCTAGAGGGCAACACCATCTATCCTATTCAATCAAGAAAAACTTTGATTTTAACAAAAAGTGTGGATGCTGCAAGAAATCCCTGAGCTTGGTGTTCATGCTCACCACAGGAAGCAGAGACTGGAAGAACCACAGCACACAGAGCAGATGTAAAGCTGTGGTGTGGAGGAAACTGTCTCAGGCCTGTGGCTGTAGGAGGTTGTGGGTGAAGCTGGTGGTGCTGCCTGCACACACTGGCTGCCTTTTACAGTAAAGTCTGGGAAAAGTTGCTCACTTGTTGGTCTCTTGCCCTGTGATGATGCAAAGCTGCAACAGAGTCTGAAGTCCCCCTGCCTTGGTTTTCACAGAGCTGACATCTTGCACAGCTGAGGCCATGGTGGAGATGGGCACAGACTGCCCAAGGATGTGGCACTGAGCACCTCCTTCCCCCTGTACCTCTCTGCTTGCTCCCCAGGTCTGCAGCCCCTCGCTCTGGTGCAGCTCCTTGGAGGCTTTCTGGCCCACAGCACATTCCCTTTGGACCCCACACTTGAAGGAGCACTGCTACATGGTGCCATCCAGCCATGGGACATGCCAGGGACGGATGCTTTGGGCAAGCAGGGACTTGGGAGAGATGCTAACACCCTGAAATCAACCTACCTGTCCCAGCACTGGTGTCTGACTGCCAAGGTGGGAACATAGTAAATGGCAAAAGAGAAGGGAAACCATGGGGACTAGGGAAACGGGGCCAAATGCTGCAGCTGAGCATCCTGATTCTTCTTGTTAATTTTTAGATTATTTTTGAATTCAAAGGGATCTGAAATTCGGGATCTGAAAAACAGGATGGGATTTGATCCACTTGGCTAAGGAGAAACTGGCCAGGGATTTGGCTGGAGTGTGGTGACTGCAGTCATGATGACTAATGCCCTTTGCAAGACAGTCTTTTAAGGGAGTCTTTTTGCTCATTATCAGCTTTTCAGGACATGAGGCATCCCTGAGAACCAGTTTTTGACCTGGACAAACACAACACAAAGCCAAGGTGTTGACAGGCTCTCCCCTGGCATGGAGAAACGCTTACCTTCTGCCACAGAGACTCCCGGGATGCCAGGGAGGAGCAGGCAGCCACGAACCAGCAGTTCCCGACCTGGCCCTGGTGTAAGTCATGGGAGCTGATCCCATCCACAAAGAGACGTGGATCATTGCAGATTTCCTGTGGGACAGGAGAAGAACAGACACACTGGGTCAGTGAGCAGACAGGGAAAACAGGAGCAGGGCTTCTTGGCAAAGGAAAGTCACTTCCTCTCTTCCTCAGATCCATGTAAACCTGACCTGCAGCTTTCTGCTGGCCTTGCTCATCACACTGGTGGCAGAAGGACCCTGTCATGCCTTCTGCTCCCACCAGGACATGAGCAGCATCACAAGACCTACTCCCTATTCTGTCCCAGCACCAGTGCAGCTTTGTTATAATTATCCCTGTCAAAAATAGCATGCTTTCACACCATTACAGCCCTTCTAAGTCTCCTCTTTCAGATGCCTCTACTCCACAACTGTTTTACAAAGGGTGAGGGATCTGCTCTTCCAGATCATAGCACAGCAGATAAAAAAAATTCAGTGAAGCAAAAATTTAGTAGTTGGGCCAGAAGGATTAAATACTCATTCTGCCACTAAAACCAGGGTGGTGGATTGTGCATAGACACCATGAATGGAGAAATTTGGGTAGGAGGCAGCTGGGAGGTAAGCTCATCCCTCCATCCATGTACCAAGATCATCAGCTTTTCTCTGCCTGGCTCCTGCCAGGCTGTCCCCCTTGTTTCTCACTCCCACTTAGAGCCTGGCCAAGGAAGCACTTAAATAACAGAGGGTGTTGAGCAAGCTTCAGGTGACACACTGCTTTTTTAAAAATGTATCTTCTCCTGCTCAATTCAGTTGGTAAGTTCACATCCAGCTGGAGCCTGGGAGCAGATGGGACAGACAAGGAGCTGAAAGAACCTTTCCCCTTTGTTATTACACTTAATTTGAAGAGGAAAAAGGAAAAGCAGATTATCCTTCCCCCGCACCTCACAGTTTTTCAGGCTGTTTGTACCCAGAAGAACATGCCCCCTCACCCCGACTTTGCATATGAGGACTTGTATTGCCTCTACCCATAGATTCCTGGAAGGGTTTGGGTAGGAAGGGACTGTAAAGATCATCTAGTTTCAAAACCCTGCACTCTTGGCAGAGACCCCACCCATTAGATTAGGTTGCCTAGGACTCCATCACAGGGAGGAAAAGGAACCATAAGCACTTCCCGCTATTCCCACCTGGCCCAGCCAGCACCAAATACATCAAAATTAACCTGACACAAACTTGGGCCAGGATCAGGCCCAAGGAAAAGGACTAGTCCCCTAATGCTGGTTCTGCAGGATGTTGGGATGAGCGCTAGGGGGAGGCAGGCTGACACCTGGAAAGGCAGGAGCCACCTGTGCCTCAGCACTGCTGAGTGCATACAGGGATGGGAGAAGAGCAGTGGGGTTCAGCTCCTCTTTCATAGCAGCAGGGAAGCCCCAGCAGTGGGGATGTGTCTGCTGGTGGGGGTGTCTGTAGGATCAGCTCTTTGTGATCCTGCTCTGGGGAGCAGAGACCCCCCCCTTCTTTATCCCATCTGAGGACCACAGCTGCCCCTTCTGCCCTTGGGGGGATCTGCAGATTACAATAAAGGGGTTGCTTGATATACACAGACAGGTGAGAACACGAAATCATGAGAAACACAGAGCCACAAAATGGATTAGGTTGGAAGGGAGCTTTTAAAAGCCATCTAGTCCAAGTCCCTGCAGTAAGTGGGGAGATCATCAGCTGGATCAGGTTGCTCAGAGCCCAGTCCACCCTGACCTTGAATGTTTCCTGGGGCTGGAACATCGATCACCTCTCTGGGCTAGCTGTGCCAGCGTCTGACCACCTTCATTTTCAAAAACTTCTTTCTTACAGGTAGTCTAAATCAACTCTCCTTCAGTTTAAAACCACTACTCCAAGTCCTATGGCAACAGGCCCTGGTAAAAAGTTTGTCCCCATCCTTCTTATAAGCCCCTTTCAAGTACTGAGAAGCCGCAGTAAGGTCTGCCCTGAAGTGCAGAGCGGGGCTACCACGCTTCCCTGCAGAAGGCCCACACACCATGCTCAAGCCCTGGGACTGAGCCTAGTCCCAGTGGTCTCAAAATCACCAAATCAAGGTGGCAATAAGGAATTTCTGGATATCATCCAATCCACGCCCCCTAATCAAAGCAGGGTCAGCTACAGCAGGTTGCTCAGGACTGTGTTCAGTCAGGTTATGAATATTTCCAGGAATGGAGACTTTGCAACTTCTCTGGGAAGCCTGTGCCAGTTTTTGGACCACCCTCACAGTATAAAGTCTTTTCTCATGCTTATTTGGAATTTCCTGATGTTCAGTTTGCACACACTGTCTCTTATACTGTCACTGGGCACCGCTGAGAAGTCTGGCTGTGTCTCCTTCATTCCTGCCTATCTGGTATTCATGGACATTGTTAAGATTCCCCTGAGCCTTCTCTTCTCCAGAGTGAAGAATCACAGAATCATCAAGAAGACCTGTAAGATCATGGAATCCAGCCATTAACCCAGCACTGCCAAGTCCACCACTAAACCATGTCTCTCAGCACCACATCTACGCTTTTCTTCAATATTTCTGGGGATGGTGATTCCACCTCTTCACTGAGCAGTCTGTTCCAATGCTTGAGCACCCTTTCAGTGAAGAAATTTTTCTTAATATAAAATCCTTGTAAAGGGGAAGGCAGCATTGCCTCCTTGCCCTAATGCTGTGGAACTGATTCTACTGGGATGAGTCTCCTCCATGGGTCAGTTTCCCCAGCAAAGCCCCCTGGGAAGGTTTGCCATATTCCTTAGACTGGAGCTTACCAATATTAAATTACTTGGATTCTTCAGTCCCTATTGAAGCTACTGAGTTTCCACTCATATGTTTTGTACCTGGTCTAGACTGTGTGGCCTCAGTCCACTGGGATGGCATTGCCTGTATTCTCTGGCTGTACTGAGGTGGGAGCCAAGGACCAAGGCACTGCTTCAGCCAGGCTGCAATGCCTCAGGACTGCAAGGAGCACAGTGGGGCCCTGGTGTGTGATGCAAAGCACCCTCGGGGCCATGAAGCACCATGCCCACGTGCAGAGGTGGCTGATGAACAAGATACCAGTGGAAACTAGGTCAAAAAGCCAAGAAAAGCTTTGGAACATTTAGTGCTCCTTTTCCTGTGAAGGAAAAGCTGGAAGTGATAAGGAGCTTGTTCTGCAGCCAGATGGAATTACAGGCCCTGGGATTTGTGAGTGCAAAGGGAGGAGAGGAGCAGAGATGCCCTGATCAGAGAAGGTCATGACCTTGGTTTCCTCCCCTCCCTACCATGCAGCAGACAGAATCCAGGTGAGCAATACCATTTATCCAGGCGGCAAACACCACATCACTGTCCCACCCTCACGACCCTGAGAGAGGAGGGCAGCACACCAACATCTACACCCACACACACCCTGGGCCCTCCCGGGTTCAGGCTTCCGCCACCACAGAAACAGCCCAAACTGCCTCTTGACACTTGAGGCTTCAGCAGACAGGAAGTCCATCCCATCCTTCATTGCTCCTGGTTCCTCCTAGTCTGGACACAGATGGAGAACAGGGAGGGGAAGCCAAAAGCTACAGCTGCAGGGAAGCTATGGCTTTAATGTGTGGTTCTTAGCTCTATCCTGGCCAAGGGAGTCACACATGTCTCTTCACCCCCAACGAGAACCTGTCTCAGAGGATCTCAAGAATCACAGAATCATTGAGGCTGGAAAAGCCCTTAAGATCACCAAATCCAACCATTAATCCAATTTCCATGTTCATCCCTAGATCATGTTCCCAAGTGCTGCACCCACATGTTCTTTGTTCATCTTCACTTCAGGAGATGGTTATTCCAAGGACCCTAAGC